GACTAAAATCGTGGCGAGTTCCCCTAATAAAAAATTAAAATCCTATATCCTAAGCCTTAATTCTAAACCGTAGTATCCTTGTGAACAAGGTAGATGAGGGTTTCCTAACACCTTCCCTTCGTCTAGAATGAGTCAAACAACTTAGAATCTATGACCAAATTAGGGTTATCCTTTATATTCCCTTCCCAAAGATAAAAATTAAGGGTGACGACTCTCAAATTAAAACCAATTACAACAATCCCACAGAAGGGAAAGGGAAACATCGAAGAAAACCTGAGAAGGGAGAAATCAAGGTCTCGTGACAAAGAGAATGGGTATTGGAGTCGATTACGCAAGTGGAAGGTATTAGCACCCCTCATGCCCGTGGTACTCTGCAGGATCCGCTGTTGTTGTTCTAATCAAATGGTGTGTTCAATATCTAAAGCTAATAGAATAAGGGGAATGCATTAATGTAAAGTATTATACAAAAATAAAGTTTTTATTAGTTGCTCCCACCGCGGTTATGAATCTTTGTGCCTACGTAGCCTCTTCGTACAATGAGAGATCAGGGCACTCATAGTTCACCTAAAAAGGTGTTTTAGTTTGTTGTATGTTTTTAGGCGGATAATGTTAAACTCACACTTTAGAATTTGACATATTACAACTCGACCTTTAGGGAATCACGCCTTGTATTACGCAGAGTGGGAATAATACCTCCTTTTGTGAAAAGGTTTTCAAAAGAAAAACTCGAAGGCAAAAGAGTTTGAATTTGTTTGTATTTTTTAACTTTAAAAAGGATTTGCTGATTTAGATAATACAATAGACTTTGAATGGAATGAATGACAAGCTTCAGGAATGGATCCACTCATCCTTCTCCACTTCTTAAGGCTCGTGAAGTGTGATTTTCATCATTAATTATTAAGTGTTTTGAGATGTTTTAGAAGAAAAGATGTTTTAGTTTTAAAGATGCAAAAGGGGAATGAAAATATTTAAGGGATACTAGAGCCCTAATGTTGTCATGTACAATGGTCCTAAGGTTAATATAAAAGGGAAACACTTACCTAAGATAGCATAAGTAATACGGTGGGAGAACTGACTTGGGTGTTTTGCGTTTTATTGCAATTATTGCGGATAGTAAGAGTCGCCACCGACTTTTATTTTATCCAATAAGGAAAGGGTGAAAAGAACAGGAAAGACCTTTGAGATATTTTCTTGAGTTTGGGGGGTAGCTTGTGAAAAGGGAAGGTGTTAACACCATTTTCATACATAGTTATCTGGGCTCTTAGTTGCTTGCTAAATCACTTTTGAAATTTCTTTGTTTGAAATGTATTTGTGATGGGTTTTGAAAGTATGTTTGAAAGCGCCTTCATTTAGGCAAACTTTGTAATGATTCTCGTCTCTATAAGAATGCATACAAAGTGTTGGACTTTTTGAAAATATTTCATGTTTTTGAAAGTGTTTGGTGTGTTTGAAAAGATGTTTGTCTTTGAAGATGGATTATGAGCAAGAAACTAAGAACGTTCTACCTACTCAAAAGTCTTTTGTTCATTTTTTCTTCCTTTGATATTGCTATCCCACCATTGATTGGTAATAAGCCTTATCTTTGGATGTAAAGGGACGGGCATGGGTCATCGTATAGTCATGAATAGCAATGTTGTGAGATATCTTAGCATTTATGTTTAAGGGACTAAGATCATTTGTAAGGCAACATTCGTAGCATCATCGAGGGACTATGATCTTGTATTTTCTATTGTTTTTTTCTAAGACGTCTCACATGCATAATATGACCATTTTCTTAAGGCAACAAGTGGAGTTAACCCTAGAGGTGTAAAGTGTGCAAGTGTTTTGTATTTCATGCTTGATTTACCTTGAATTAGGATTTTCTAAGCGTTGATTTTATCTTTCCATACAAACCCTAATTTACTACCATTTATATGAAAGCGATAAATTATGGAAAATAATATCCTACGCTATTACATCATTAGGGGATGGGGTATACAAATTTACAAATGGGGATTGCAAGAAATTAAATCCTAATTATCTATTACAACCATATTGAATTTGTACAAGAAATGAAATGAATATAATGTACAAGTATAAATGGATAAAGAATGGATTTTTGTTTGCAATTTTGTTAAGAAAGATAGTTTTGACCTAATTAACTTAAAAGAAAATAATTAATTAGAAAAAGAAAACTAAACTAAGTTAATTTAGAAAAGAAAATATTTTTTAGTCTTTTTGTAAATAAGATTTTAATTCTAATTAAATAGCATAAAATAAAAGGAATTAATTAATTTAAAAAGAAACCTAAAATTCTAAGTTAATTTTAATTTGAAGAAAAGAAAAAGAAATAAAACCCTAATCTAATCATTAATTGATTAAGAAAGAAAAAAATTAAATTTATAAAAAAAGTGTTTTTGATGTTTTTATCTTGAAAGAAAGATAAAATAGGTATGTGGTATAAATAAATAAAAATATTTTTTGTCTTTTTTGATTAATAAAAATAATCTCTATAATAATATTACTAATAATAATAAAAAAAATAAAAAAAAATAATAATAATAATAATAATAAATAAAAGAAAATAAAAAAATGAAAAATATGGAAATGTAAATCAGGGGTTGCAAAAGTAAAGAGGGTGGTAAAATGAGTAAGAACAATTTTTGCTGTTAGGCCCAATGGCCTGTTTTTTGTAGTAAAAAACAAAGAAAATAAAAAATTTAATGGGTTGTGTAGTTAAAATAATAATGGGGGTGCGCGTGAGAAAATGAACGGGCTTAGTGTTGATTTGGGGTAAGGCCTAAACAGAATCAGTAGTGAAATAGCAAGGAAAGGGGGTACGCGAGCGGAAAAGGTCATTGGGCCTGTGTTGAAAGAGCATACGGGGCCCAACCTATTTGTTTAACTAAAACAAAACAAATCAAAATAGAAGAAAAAACATCATTTTACAAAACGCTGTCTCTCTCTTGCTCTCTCTCGCTCTGACTTTTCTTCGCCGGAGAAGAAGAAGCCGCCGCGCCAGAAATTGTCTCACGGCGGAGATGCTCCAAACCTATTTTTTTTACCTTTTCTGATTCATTTTTCTCTTGCTGGTTACTAATCCATGCATGGATTTTGCAGATTCAGTGTGATTTGAAGTAAATCTAAAAGGGGGTGAACGAACCCTAGGGATTCTGGTTTGGCCCTTTCGCTTGATTCCCGATGAGATCACTCTTTTTCTTTCTCTTTGATTAAATCTCTGAAGGGTTAGGCTTTGGAAAATGATGGAAAAAAATATGTTAGGGTTACATTTTTGGTATCGGTTATGTGCACGTATATTTTGTGTCTGATTTAGAGGGTTTTTATGGTGGCTCGGTTTTTCTTTGATTCTGTATATCTTTGCTAGAAAAATGATTTTTGAAACAATAATGTTGTTGTTTATTGTTGTTTTGGACTCTATATTTTTGTATATTTTGTGAAAGAAGCTTGAACACGACTTTGAGGGGTTGTGCCCGGCCTATTCCCCTTTTTTCAATCTGACTATTGCTCTGTTTATACTATGGACTTGCATGTTTGATTCACTTTGTTTTTCTGTAAAAAGAATTGATACTGACTTGAGGGAAGCTTGTTCTGTCACTTTAACAAATCAGCTTTATTGTATTTTTTTTCTCTGACCTTTCTTGCTGGTTGTGTGATGGACACTGGCTTTTGTATTGGTTTTGTACTTATTGTACTTTGATAAATCAATTTGATGTCCTTTTGTTGGTTGACTTTGCTTTTGCTTGCTTTTGGGGCTGCACTTGCTTGCTTACTTTTTGTTTACTTGTTGGATTTTGGTACTTGTTGTACTAGTTTTGATACTTTTATGTGATGCCGTGAACAAAACATTTTGCTTTTAGATTTGTTTAAGATTTGCAGTACAGTTGCTTTGGCTTATGACTTGCTTTGGCCTTAAATTCTGTTTTTGCACCTTTTTTCTTCTATTGTGAACCAAACAAAACTTTGTGATTTGAAATAGAGTTCTTTAGGCCAATGGTAGGACAATGTTTTGAGGCCTTTGTTGGGCTTAAATTCTGACTTTTGAATCTTTGTCTCTTCGGGTTAGAAATATGGTTGGAATTTTGTTTGCATTTTTTCTTCTTTTGTGAACCAAGTTAAATTTTGATTTGTAATGATGTGTTGGCCCGTGATTAAGTCCATTTTGTATGAGGCTGTAGCACACAAAATATGCTTGAAATAACATGCTTTTTTTGATTCCATAAACCAACCCTAGTGATGACTTAAATAATCTTGCAATTCTTTGTTTACTTTTAGTTGTTTGCTAATCCAATCTTCTTGTTTCACATGAGCAGCAAAGGATTGATTGAGGAGAAAGATGGCAAGGAAACTGTGGCATGGCTTGGAGAAGAAGCTTGAAGGCTAGGAGCATGAAGAATATTTTTCTTGAATGGTGTATTAGAAAATAGAAAAAAAAAGATAGAAAAAATGTAGTAGGCCTTTAAAATGTAATTTGAACTCTGTAATTATTCGGAATGTATTTGAACAATAAATTTCCAAAATGTGTTGAATGATATTTGAAATGGAATGAAACTTTGTAGAAGTTGTTTGTTTTGAATAAAAGAATGAAAAGGGTGATGAAAGAATGATATGGGCTTTGACTCCTTGAATTTAGAATTGGATCTTTAGACTTTATGGCACCAAAATCTAATGAATTTCAAATTTCAAATTTTATTCACAACCTTTAAGATTTCTCTAATCCTTAATTTCAAACCCAAAATGACTTTGTAGTTGAAATTTTGCAAGAATTGTAAACAAATCTTGAAAGGTGTATTAGAATTGCCTTAAGAATGGTGCTTGAAATAAAATTTAATTTCCTTCTTTCTTCTATATCCTAAAATGTCTTGAATTCTTTTGATCTTCATATCAAAAACCCTAATCTTCCATAAGAACATTTAGATTTGAATTTTAGGCTTTTTTTGAAATGAAATCGAAAGAAAACTCGCGCGACAAATGATAGAATTGACTGTGCAAAGTAATTCTCATTATAACATCCAAAAACTTTGATTGGTGAGATAAGTCCAATTGTATTTTTGCAGGAATCGTGACCATATGTTCCCTAACCGCAGTATTAATATAATAATTTCATTGCTTGTATCGCGCTTTACATTCACTCCATTTTCACACAGTAATGCCTTAGCTTTGTAAATAAAACCATGATTCTTTTTGGAAGGAGTTTGAGTACGCAAGCCTTGTAGCTTCATGAAACAGAAAATCTTCAATAATCTTGAATTCTAAGCAGTTGACCCTTTTAAACCAATGGAAACTTAAATTCTCTTGACGACACAAAGTTTTAACTTAAGATGTCACAAAGCCATAGAGATCTTAGTAGCTCGAACAAATAGGGCACGAGGTCTATCTCAGATTGGTTGTCAGCAATTAAATTCTACTGTTTGAAGAAAACCATGATCCTGTCTAAGCGCATGAATGCATATGATGAAATATAAGCCAGGAAAATTAAAATGAAGAGGGGAAATTTTGGGGTACAATATCATGCAAAGGTGGATCTAAGATTAGGATAAAAGGGAAACATCTATCTAAGTTAGCATGCAAATATGGACCAAAGGTTAAGGTTGAAGGGAGCTATTTGATGTTGTCATGCTTACTTTAGAACCTAAGATCTATTTAATTCACACCTTAAAGAAGATTAAACTAAAATCCTAATAGAACATGTTATCACAAGCAAATGACAAAGAAACAAACATGAGTATAAACCTTAAAAGATATGGCTTTGGAGCCAAGCAAACACCTAAGTGTAAGAATCAAACATCAATCATCAAGTACAAGCCAAAAAGAGCCTAAACTATAACATGCCTCAAGTCATCAATCACCAAGTAAGAATGTGCATTAGTAACGACTTAACACACACACTAGGGTCCCATAAGGGTCATGCTCAAATGGTTCTACCCTAAGGCATTACAAAACAAACATAAGCAATCAACAAACACACAAGCACTCAAGGCTTTAAGTTTCAAACAAGCATCAAAGCTTAGCAAGCAAAGATGAAGTGAAGCAAGCAAGGTAAATACCTCTACAAGTCAGAAAGTATACCTTAAAAGGTTCATATAAATGTATCTCAAATATGGGAGAAAGATCGCACAAGGATCACACAAAGAAGACAAGCAAACAAGTACTTGAGCAAGTAAAAGAAAAAGAAAGCAACCAATGATTGACTAACCAAAGAAGGCGTGTTATAAAAGTACTTCAAACAAACTGAAATCTACTTCCCCTAATATTTTATCATCCTAATTCTACCCTAAACAAGGTAATATAAGTCAAGAAGAAGATGAAATCACCTAACTAGGGAAGTAGAAAAGAAAATAAGCAATTAGAAGTTACAACTTCAAAAAATGTCAAAAGCATTCATGAAAATGAGGCAAGGTAGATACCTGATTCTAAATATGCTTTAAGACATCATAAATTATTACCCAGAGGTCACATGTTAACAAACATCACCTAACTAGAATGATCATGCATGGTGAAGGAAGATGAAACTCAAACAAATAGTAAGAATTAACCTAAGTTTAAAATAAGTAGTAAACATACAAAGGTCATCCACATTGCATCAAATTAAACATTATTACATGTCAAAGGTACCTCTAAGGGTCATGCACAAGAGGTAAGGACTTAAAAGTTACAAGAGAAGCCACACATGTAAGCATACTAGCTAGTGAAGACTTATGTGTCAAATGCCTAACCTATCATGGCATAGGGAGATTAAGTGAAGTAAAAGAATATGAAGAATTGTATTATTCAGTAGAAAACACGTCAAAATCTTATCATCATCATACAAGCATGCTTGACAAAGAATCAAAATCAAATCACACAAGAAAAGTCAACCACATAACCCTAGGTGGACATAAATCTTCATGCAATGCTATAAATCAAAACATGTTTAAAGAGAAGGAATATAGGAAGAGAGAGAGAGAGAGAGAGAGAGAGAGAGAGAGAGAGAGAGAGAGAGATAAATATATACATTTTATTCAATTATAACAAGTCTCATGATCAAGAAGAAGTTCAATTAGGCATTGAATTCATGGTACAAGCATCAAAGTACACAAGCATCATTCAAAATTATGAAGTGAGGTGAACACAAGTGTGTGAACAATTAAGTATGGCATTTGAGAATTTAGAATAGATAAGGTCAGAATCAAATACATATAGTGAACATGCATAAATATCCTATAAACATCCCTAAGGCATCAAGGCAAAGCATCCTCAAAGATGGAGACAAATAATAGTCAAATCCAAAACTTAATCATGCTCCTAATGGATCATAAGTACCAAGAAAGGGATAAATGAAGAGGGATCATGGTAAGAAGGTATCAAATCACACAAGTCAGAGGAAAGTGACCTATAATATTGCATACTCAAGCATCATAAACATCCACAAAAGACAACATGAGAAACCTCAAAGTGACATATCAAAACTAGCCTAGTAAGCAAGTGGTCTAACAATTTTTTGAAGTAAGCAAGTAGACAAAGATCAAGTCAATAGGAATAACATATCATCAAAGGATAAAGTAGATTTAATGGTAAGAAACTCAAGATAGCCAACAAAGAATGACAAACGCATAAAAATTAGCTCAAGACTTGTCAAAAAAGCAAAGATATAGTCCACAAAATGAAACAAGTATTGTAAACTAATTACTTGTAAAAGTAAACTAAAGGTTAATGTACTTAAGTGTTATGAGTAGTAGAAAACACTAAGTATCATTAACAAGGACTTGGTTCAAAGAAAAGAAAGAAACATCAATCAATAAATTCAAAAGCTCAAGTAAAAGAATAGAATGTAGCTTCTAAATTGTCATTATGTTTAATTGACAAATGAATGAACAATAAAAAGATCAAGAAGCATGGAGAAGTGACATGGTAGAAGGATATAAATGCTTCACAAATTCATAAGTTCAAAACTAGGTGCAATAAAATACAATGTGGCTCATATCTTGTCATCATTATGAGTTGACAATTGAATATGAATAAAATAATCAAGGAGCAATGTAATTGAAGCATCAAGGCGTTAGAGGTCAGAAGAACACTCAAGAGACTTCATTCTAATTGGATCAATGGTATTCAAATAGAAATATTCAAAGACAATCTCCTAAACCATGATCACAAAAGATGAACCAATGAACTTCAAAGTATAACAAGCAAAGAAGTAATGATAGAGTACTTGAATGGTTCATTAATATGAACTCAAGTCTCTTACCATATGATTATGATTGGATAAGAAGGGAAGAACTTGATTCCCCATGGGTTTCACAAAGTGCATTCCCTATACCTCAAAAATCAAACCAAATAGGCAAAAGTAAGATCAAAGTGAAAATAAAAGATAATGGGTCAAATGAAGTCAAATGGTTATCAAGTTCTAGAAGAACTATACTTGAAAATTTAATCTATCAAGCTATGGAAATTGGATTCAAAGGAATCCACAAGATCAAACCAAAATCACAACAACAATGCAATTAGGGTTTCTAAATTAGTCAATCAAAGGCTTTAAACTAATAATCATCAACAACTAAAAATATGATCAATAAAATTAATCGAAGTTGATGTGATCTAAAGAAAACATATGATCATCACGTGTCCAAAAATTGGCTTCTAAATAAGTTCATAAATTTCCAAATGAAACTCAACAAGATTAATCAAGACCAATGGAACACATTCATAAGATAATTCAAGAAAAAATATGAAGAGGGTTTTAAAATTCATGCCAAAGTTATTCCTATATCCCTAAGACTTATAAAAGTCAGAAACATCAATTAGGGTTCTTGGAATAATAAGGAAAGATGAAAATGAGCTTAAATTGTCAAGACTAGTTGAGAAAGTCATTAAACTAGATACCTTAAGAAAAACATTTTATGAAAATTAGAAAATCAAAGGATAAAATTAATTAAAAACCACTTTCATGATTCTAAGACATTCAATAACCCTAAACAATTTTGTTCTAATTTTTAGAAGCAACGGAAATTGGAAAATTAATTCAATCTTCAAGCATAAGCAAACAAAACCACAAGATTTGACAATTAAATTCAACAATTTTTAAAGACCACACAAAATTAGTTAAAATTATCAAGAAACATCAAACATATTTTTGTGAAATTTTTGGATTAAGGGAAAACTTAAAATAGAATAACAAAACATAAACAAATATTTTGTAAAGAAATGACACATTTAAACAATTAATTTATTTAATGTGCCACGAATTTTCTAAAATTAAAATAAAAAATGTGACAGTAAAATAGATTCATAAAAGTGTAATGTCTAATTTTTTATAGAATTTTTGTGTAATTAAAATTGTAAAAAAAAAAAAGGGAAAATATGTATAAAATATGAGGGAAATAAGAGAAAATAAAATAAAAAGAAAGTATAAAAGAGAGGTACATGCAGGCAAGGTGGACCTAGTTCAAAGCTAATAGCTAATCACACTTTGTCTCTTCCGTTCAAACATGTAAAACTAGAGAAACCAAAAACCCTAGCCCCTGTTCAACCTATCATGTTCAGATCATCATATCTCGTTCATCTTTCCATGAAATTCAAAAATCCAAACACTAAAATTGTAGTACTAAAAACATAGATCATCATAGTATCTTTAATTTCTTCAAACTAGCAAAGATTCACAGAGAAAAGCAAGCATTAAAGTCACTGATTCACACATTTTCGCAAAAAAATTCCAACACAAAAACAAAATTAGATTCACACAAAGTCCCATCTCATACCTAATGTATGGCTCAGCTATATGCTTACGAACATGTTTACATCATTATAAAACTCTTAAATCCATGGATGCAAGTGTGAGAGAAAGAGACCAAGAAGCTTACCAAGTGAATGATTCATCCACTGCTTCTTTCCACTCCAAAGCTCCAGAGACCTAAGTAACTTGATCTATTAACTCTAAGGATGAAGAAATAAGCAAGAAAAGGAGGTTTGCTTCGGAGAAAAATGAAAACCAATGGAAAACTTTGCTTGAGTGTGTACAATCTCAGATCTTCTTTCTCTCTCCAGAAGAATGAGTGTGTCTAAATGGAAATGAAGAGGGTGTTATATAGAGTGAGTGGAGTATAGAGAGTTTTGTTTGAGGGTAAAATAGTGAAGACAGAAAAATGACATGAGAGAGGTGTGAGTGGCTCATGATGCATTTGATGTGTATGATGAGGCTTTTGATGTCGTTTTTGGCTGAGCAAATAGAGTGAGAAAAGTGTGAAGGGAGTGTGTGAGTGTGAGATCACGCGGGATGTTTGTACAACTTGCATTTTCTCATTTCCAAAACTGGTCATCTATTTGAAATAAACAGCATGCATGCATAAAGCATGTTTAGGATTTTTTGGAAATCAAGTGATGATGTATGTGTGTGATACATGGTGTCTATGATATCAAAATAGAATGAGAAGGACTTGTACCTCAAAACTGACCAAATATAAAAATATTGAGAAAATGGACCCCGTGGTTTTCTACACCACTTCCTTGGATCATAACTTATAATTCTTCTCACAGATTGATGTAATCTTGAGCTTAATGGAAAGAGGGAAGCAAACTAAACAACATTGATGTTGAGATGGAAATGAAATGAAGCCTGAAGCATAGGGAAAAAATTCCATGGAAGTGATGCTTTGAAACTGATAAAACACTTAGAGAAAATCTCTAAGTATAACTCAATATGACATTTTTACCTATTTGACCTCCCATGATCATATCTTGAGATTTAGGGACTCTTTTGAGAAACTTTCTAAAGCAAAGTTGTAGAGCAAAGATTGATCTTCATCTTTTGTGTTGAAGTTGTCCACAGATGATGCTTGGATGATGCTTATTTTTTAGCCTGAAAGTAATACAAAAATTTGATTATAAAAGAACACTTAGAAAAAATTTCTAAGTGTTGGAAAATCTTCTCCAAAGTGCCTCACTTTAAAACCTCATAACTTATTCAATTTTAATCCATTGATGATCAAATTTACATGGTTGGAAATATTAGAGGAAGATTAACAATTTTCATGTTGAAGTGGTTTTGAATAGAAGCTTGCATCATTGTGTACTCTATCCATGAAGATCAGTAATGTTACTTGAAAACTTACTAAAAAAGGAAAATTAGAAAACCCTAAAATTTCCAAATTAAGCAAGTTTTTCTCAATCTTGATCTTTTATGAATATTTTGGTATTTCTTGATCAAATTCCACACATTGACCATATTTGACTTGTAGAACACAATTTTGACTATTAAAAGTTAAGGATTGAATTTTAGCTTGCACAATAGACTTTTTCCCCCAAATCAATTGATTCACAATCAATTGAGCAATTGAACATCTTCTGATCAATATTAATGGCCAATTTTCCATCCATAGATGCTTAGAAACATGTAGAGTACCATGGAATCAAGTTTTTCTCAAAGAATCAGAAATAAACTGATTTTATCACAAGCCCTAATTTTCAGTCCAAATGATAGAAGATGAGTGCACAACCCCAAAACCCTAATTCCTCTAGGCACCTTGAGGAATCTCTTGCGAAAAGATGTCATGTATGATGATAGGATGATAATGCTTCAATTATCTTGCTCCTAAAAGGTGTCACACACTTCAATTGATCAAAACTCTAATCAAGGACCAAAAGATAAGAGGAATTAGCAGCTTCAAAAACCCTTGCAAATCTATATCATATGATGAAATGATGGACATATTGAGATGTTTTGAGGCATATAGAACCTTTGTAGCTTAAGTGACCAAAAGAATAAGGATATTGGATCCTCCTTGCAATGATTGACAATTCAACCATCTTCTATTGCTTAAAAAAGACCATAAGACAAGAACACCTTGATCCCATCTTAAATGAATGAATGTGTATGCTAAGATGAAACATAAGCCAATTAAAAAGAAGATGGAAAATTTTGGGGTGCTACAGCTTCCCCTATTGAATCATCTTAAAGCCGAGGGTGAGACTGACGCTAGCCTTTCGAACATTGAAGGTAGAAGAGGACTGAATACCAATAGAATCGTAAAATTTGCACTCTAGGAAACAAAAGAAAGTCAAGTATATATTTTTTATGTATTTTCTATTTTTTTGGACGCCTCTACTATTGATCGTTGGCAGGTATCGACACGATATTCCCGAAGGATTCCTTCACAAGATGGGATGAATGCTTTATTAAACGAACTTGCATAAACTGTATCATCAGATATCTTCTACTTCACAGGAGAAATAAACTTCATCTCCTTCTTCACAAAAGGTGAACTTAGCAACTAAATACCGGGGATATACTATTTCACAAAAGAATCTCTGTCTTCTACTACACAGAAGCCATATCCAAAAACTGTATCAAACAAATCTTTTACTTCACAGAAGAAATAATCTTTGTTTCCCTCTTCACAAGAGATAAGCTTCAGCAACTGAACTCCGAGGATATCCTACTTCACAAAATAAATCTCTATCTTATACTTCACATAAGCGATGTCCAAAAACCATATCAAAATGGATAGATTTTGTCTCCTACTTCACAAAAGAGAAAGCTGTAACCAAGAGGGTTCTTCTACTTCATAGAAGAAATAAACTTCATCTCCTACTTCACAAGAGAGAAATCCAAAACTTCAACTTCGGGGCACCTCCTACTTCACAAAAGAAGCCTCGCCTTCTACTCCACAGAAGAAACATTCATAAAATGTATCAAGGAATCTTCTACTTCACAAAAGAAAAAAACTTTATCTCCTTCTTCACAAGAGATAAGCTTCATTAACTGAACTTCGGGGATCTCTTACTTCACAAAAGAATCTTCTTTTTCTACTTCACAGAAGCGGTGTCCAGAAACTATATCAAAATGGACAGACTTTGTCTCCTACTTCACAAAAGAGAAAGTTGTAACCAAGAGGGTTCTTCTACTTCACAAAATAAATAATCTTCATCTCCTACTTCACAAGAGAGAAATCCAGAAACTGAAATTCGAGACACCTCCTACTTCACAAAAGAAGCTCCGTCTTCTACTTCACAGAAGAAACATTCAAAAATTGTAAACAAAAATGTATCTCCTACTTCACAGAAGAACAAACTCCGTCTTCTACTTCACAGAAGAAATAAACTTTATCTACCACTTCATAAGAGAGAAATCCAAAAGCTGAACTTTGGGGTACCTCCTACTGCATAGAACAAGCTTTGTCTTATACTTCACAGAAGAAACATCCAAAAACTGTTGGGTTTGAAAAGGTTAGCAATCAAATGGACTTTTGAAAAGGAGGAACTAGTTAAACTAGACCTACTGAAAGAATACCAATTACATTGGAGATATATGTCGGCCAAGGGAATATAAAGGAAAGAGACCAACCGAATGAGATTCTAACAAAGGTCACTAACCAAAGGTAGACTCCTAAGAAAAGAACACCGATTAAAGGCAATATTACAATGAAAAAATACTAGCCGAAGGTAGACTCTTAACAAAGATACCAACTAAAGGTAGATTTAACTGGGGATAGACATTGAATCTGAACAAAACA